ACTGGCTTGCTGAGCAGTGCCAGCCTGCGTGCCCTCGTGCGTGGGGCGTACACCGCCTGCAACTGCCTCCACAGCTCAAAGCCGTTCTGCTCCGGTATGAATCTTAGCATGGCAAGCGGACGACCTTTGAGCAACCCGGAAAGGATTTCGTACAGGCGTCGGGCACGCGGCCTGGCTGGCTCGACCATGTCAGCAATGGTCACGACCTTGAGCGCGTGGGTGCAAGTGACGTGGCTGGCCCGGACCACGGCACCTGGCGTTGCGCCTGCAGATCGCCGCCGCTTGGACTTGGTGGTGTACGGGGCCACGCCGGGCGGTGAGGCACTCTGTTGTGACACGACGCTTGTCTCGCCCCTGACGCGAGCGGGTCGCCCAGTTCCAGGTGCCGACGTGCGTGATGGGGCCGCGTTGGCGGCCGCGAACCGCCGCACACACGCGCGATATCCCGAGCTCTTGCGGGGAGGTCCGCAACGGCTCGTCGTGGCCGCGGCGGAGGTGGGCGGCAGATGGGGTGACGAGTGCCAGCGATTCGTCCGCCAGGTCCTGGGCCTGGCGGAATGATGTTGGACACTTGGGAATTGATTTTCGGGACGGGCTTGCAAAATTGCTTGACTTGCGCTTTGCTGACGATAATTTATTGTTCGCGATGACACGTGACGAAGCTGCCCGGATCTTGGATGCAACTGTACAGACTGTCGCCGCAGTGGGTCTTTTTTAAAACCCAACAAGAACCAAGGTTTTAACCACAAAAGCACACCCACCGTCGACGTTGTCAACGCCAAATGGTTTGGTTTGGTCGTTGGATGCATGAAACAGAGAAAAGCCGCACAAGTGGTTGAGATGTTTGCTTTGCACCAAGTCGGAGGGCAACCATGCAGCTGATACTGACCATCATGTGCAAGCTGCGATCAAAGCGGTTCTCGCCAATCGATGGCTTCTATGTGATCAGAAAGTTTCCTTGCGTGATCGCCTGCGTTATTTTGAGGCTGTCATTTTTCCAGTTGCATATTTCGCGGCTGCGCACCGGCCTGTGTATGAATCGGATTTGCGCAAACTCGACGTTGCTCAGCGGCGGATGTTGCGTGCAGTCGTTGGCGCACCAAATGGCACAGACTGGTCGGCAGAATGGCATGTGATCTGGCATGGTTGGAACCGCCGTGTTTCAGAGCAGATACAAGCATGCAACGTTTCCAGATGGTCTGACCGATGCGTGCGCTCTTATTGGCGATTTGCGCAATATGTGGTTTCCCGACCTGCTGATAGACGTGCTTTGAACTGGGTTCCGAATTGGTCTCGTCGCATGGGGCGACCCAGGTACCAGTGGGATTCCATGCTGCAAAACTTTTGTCGATGGAAATGATGTGAGAACTGGCAACTTGAAGCCCAAGATGAGGCCAGATGGTATGCAGATGGTCAACACTGCTTACGGATTTTTTCTCCTTCATGGAGCACGTGTGAGCGCCGCTTTTCTGTATAGTTAATGCTAGATTTGCCTGAGCCCTAAATGGCTGCCTAAACGCTTTCAGGCCTGACTTGACTTGGCTCGCGCTGCGGCGGCGCCAGCAAGGGGAGGCGGAGGCGGCGCCGCAGGGCGAGGTGCATCAGGTCCGGCGTGAGCTCGGCTGCTGGGTGCGCGGGGATGGCACTCAGTCAAGACCCCGCATGTGGCCCTGATTGGGACCGCAACATGGCTCGGGCGTCAGGGGTTAAAGACGCCAACATCGTGTGCTCTCGAAAAGAGATGTGGAGTGCGAGAACGGCACCACGTCGTCAGCCCGATCCCCCAAGACCCGGCTCATTTGCGGGCTCAGGCGGCGGCCGTGCTCTGTCGACAAACGCTCGCCAGGCTGGCCTGTCCAACCAGCCCTGGGCGGTTAGGGCGTCTGCCGCGGCCGCCGCCGCCGCCTGCAAGCAGACGCGCCTGCTCGCGCACCTGCCGCGAGTTCCTGCAAGCAGCGCTCTGCGGCATGGCATCGGGGTGCCAATATCGGCAACGCGTCCGCCCACGCAGCCAAGTAGGCCGCCGGGGCGACGCGCTCTGCCCAGGCCTCCCAAGCGCGCCGGTCAGCGGCGAGCTCGTTTCGCAAGAAGTGCTGCGCCCGCGGCGAAGCGCAGAACAGCAGGAGCAACCACGCCACTGCAAGTCGGGCAGACGCGGCATGGCCTGCAGGAACCTGCGCGTGCGTCCTGACATATTCGTCGTGCCCCCCAAAAGGGACCCCAAAAGATCCCAAAAGCCAAGAAGCCACGCTCCGGCAGTGGCTTGTTGCCACGCCACACTTTCTTTCCAAGCTCATCGACGCCGGGAGGTGCGGGGCCGCCAGCGGCATGATAGACCCGGGTCTTGCCTACGTTGGCGGCAACTACTGCCTCGCGCTCGACGGCGCCCGCAACAACGTCACCGCCGCCGCGCGCTCGCTCTAGCATCGTGACCAGGTACAGGTCGTCGAGGAAGGCGAACAGGGAGTCGCCAGGTTGTAGGGCTGCCAAGGGAGTCCGCCATGCACTCGTTTCCGCGCTTCACGCCATTCGGGCTGCCGCGTGCGGAAGGGCGCTGCGCTGAGTTGGCCATGCAGGACGTCCCAACCACCTTCACAAAAGTGCAACGGGCAAGGAGCAAGCGTGGCAAAAGCAAGAGGAGTTTCCACGGCCGCACCCGCGCGGCGTCATCGCAACTCCCACACGCAGCCGGCGACGATGGACACATGCTCCCACTGCCGCGGCCTGAGCCCGGTTCGGTGTGTCCTCACTGCGGCCGCGCTGGCCCCGGTCGGCTGCTGGCCTGTCGGACGCCACCGTCGATCATTATCCCGCCTCACCGCCTTTCGCAAGCCGCCGGGAGGGGTGAGCGGTATTGCTGCTACCGGGGATGTATTCCGTCGCCTCGTCTCCCGTGCTTTAGCGCAAGCATATGCCGGGGAGCTTGACCTGACGAAGCAACAGGCCCATTTGAGTTCACGCTGCAAACCCGTGCAGGCACCGATAGCCTGGCCATGCTGGTGGAGTTCGACCCCCCGGGGCGACCGTCGTGTCCCTTGTCGGCCGCAGTCCTGTCCAAGCTACGCGAGGCTGTGCCGGAATTCTTGCCTTTCGCCCGGGCCAGATTTGCCCGCACAGCCACTTTGCTGTGGTGGGACTGCGAGGCAATCCGCCGCGAAATATCCGGAGATCCCCTCGCCGGGGCTGTATGCGTTGGGCCAGCTCGTTGCGGCGGCTGCCCATTTCGGACAGGGCGAGCGCCTGGCGGCGTTTCTCGAAGATCTGCACGTTACCACGCCGGAGCGAGCTGGGCACCTGGCCGGCGTCGTTGCCAGTGGCGCGGGCGTCGCTGCGTCCCGATCGGCCACCCGGACTTCGTCTCGTCCCAGGCCGCTGGGCGCCTGCGCGCGGAAGCCAAGCTGCTGTGGCGTTTGCCGCTTCTACTCCTTGCAAAACTCGCGCCCTGCGTTTCTCGCCGCCTTGGGCTACCCCCGAACATTGTTGTCCCGTCGAACCAACCATCCCTGCCACTGACTCCCTCCGAGCTGAGGCGGACGACCGTCATTTCTGGGCGCTTGGGATCATGCGCACACACTACGGAGGACGTCAACCAATGCTCCCCTTTCGGGTATCGTTCGAGGACGCAGCTCATGCCACATACCCGTGGTTTTCGAGGAACTACCTCATCGACCTGAGGTGAATCCATCTCGAATTCAACCGCTGCCGCCCGGCAACTACCTGCTGTTGGCCGTCGCACCTTCATCGCCGTGGCGATGGGACCCTTGCTCCTCGAACAGGCCCTCGACATCGATTCCAGCTGCATAACGAACTTGTGGGGGACGGCAAGAAAGAAAGCTAGCGCAGTTGCTCGAGAAGCCACAGGAGAACAGCACTGACCAAACAGGCAAGTGTGAGACTACCCAGCGCACAGCCGGTCTACCCCTCGCCCATCACCTGCATCCCAACCAACATCGTCGGAGAATCCCTGGCCACAGCATCCCAAACAACCCCTGGAGCGCCCATCAGTCGAAGTGCAACCCGTCGAGTGCCAACCCCTGCCCAGCCCCGAGTGTTTTTTTCAGAGAATTTCTGGAGTGCCCAAGCCCAGTATCCCCAGCCTAGGCTTGAGAGCAGTCAACAAAACCCTGTGCCCAAACCCCACGGCATCACCAGAAAATCCCTGCAGCCCCCAGAGAAGCCCCTGGAGTGCAGCCCAGACCCAAAGAATCCCTGGAGCACACCAAACCTTGGAGTATCTGCAGAGAATCCCTGGAGTGCCAACCGCAGAAAAACCCCCAGCTACCCCGAGTTTCTTACCAACCCTAAGGCCATAAGGTTGACCAACAGGGGTGTGGGGATAGGGCCCCGCTGGGGTGCGTGCAAAGGGGCCAACTCCCGAGCTTTCCTGCGCATGGCCATGTGGCATCTGGTACAGGCGTCATTGGTCGAGATACCCCTGCGCGATGAAGAATCCAAGTTCTCGGCGATGAGGGGGTGCTGTGTGGCAACCACGGTTCGAAATTTCTAGGGCAAGTCAGTTTATGGGCTCGTTCGCCGCAAACCAGTCGAACGTCGTCTGCGCAACATGCTTATCGACAATCGCTCGCAGGGAACGCTTTGATGGCACCTCACGTCGTGGCTCCACCCCCCGACGTACATCCTCACCTGGAGGACTTCCTTCTGAGCCACTTTCCCCTCGCGCTTGCACTTCGGCGCCGTTGCACCTCAATGTTCACCTCGAACCTGAGCCAACTCCTTTCTTCGAGTGCCCGATGGGACTCCCCCCTCGGCGATGCTCTCGTATTGGGTTCTGACGTCGAGCTCTTCTATTTCTGAGAGGACTACGAGGGCTCTCTTTTGGCCCATAAAACGGGTTGGCTTGCAATAAAGAAGCGGGAAGCTACATCTGCCAACCCTTCGGTCTCGTTGAGGCTCGCTGGGACTACATATTGAAGCCTTGGCTATGACCACCGGTACTTTCCCTACAATCACCACTGCTCCAGCAGCCGCACTTCACGCTTTTAATCCACAACGACGATGCGCCAGCGACGCTTCTGGCCGCCATCAGTCCTCAGGCACCCGACATCCACATTCCTGTGCTTAGCAACGGAAGAGCAACCATGTGCAGTCTGGAGCACGTTGCAGCAACCGCTGGAATCTCTGCCACGTGCCCAGCAATGGCCTGGCATCAAAAGGATGCACGTTGTTGCACGTGAGAATGAACCCGATGAAACCTCGTACGCGGCAACCACCTTGCGAAACTTCTCCGTCGCAGTGGCCTTGCAATGAGTGCACAACACGCAAAGAACAATGCATTTCCAAAGACCGAGCCCATTAGCATAGTCGAGCGTGGCAGGTGCGCCCATTCAGAATTCAGACACACGGGTCGACAAAGGACAAAGACAGGGACGTGCTGTGGGAAATCCTGAAAATGAAGCAGCTCTACATAGCTCTGCCTTGTCCTTGTCCCCGTGGTGCTTGTCTGGATGGAACTTTAGAGCAAGACGTCTGTAGGCCTGGCTGGGCTGTGAACCACAGCAACATCAAGTACAGCAGCAAAGGACTTGGGTATGGAGCCACAACGAAAATCACCACGTACTCTCAGAAACGACACTTCGACACTTGTGAGCGGCCTTCTTGAGCTGGGCAGGGTCTGTGCCAGGCTCCAGCTCTAGCACCTCAAAAAGCCGAAATCAGATGTAGGGTTTAGGGTTTAGGGTTTAGGGTTTAGGGTTTAGGGTTTAGGGTTTAGGGTTTAGGGTTCAGGGTTCAGGGTTCAGTTCCCCCATTCTCAGGACGCATTTGGGCCCTGACCTTCCAATCGGCAGCCGTGGGCTCAGGCTTTTGCTGGCCTTTTGTCCTGCAAGGTTTGCAGGCGTTGCGGTCTCATAGGGTTTGGGGTTTAGGGTTTAGGGTTTAGGGTTCAGGGTTCAGGGTTCAGGGTTCAGGGTTCAGGGTTCAGGGTTCAGGGTTCAGGGTTCAGGGTTTGCTGACAAGCCTTAAGCAACGTCCTTGCTGGGCGGATGAGGCCGTTGCTGTGGACATAGTTTCGCAGCTCCACGTCCGACCAAATCTTCTCCTAAAACATGTGGGGGTTTACGATACGAAGGGGCCCCCAATAAAGTCCCCAAACAGTAGGATCGCTGTGATCCCCTTACAATAAGGACCCCAATAAGGTTCCCATAAAGCGTGGCCTCCTCAGATACACTCAACAATGGCAAGTCCAAAACACCTCGGGGGCACCTGGTCAGGAGTCGGCACGTCCCCGCAAAAACTGGGATTCTTCTCCAAGAGCTCTGCTAGGCGGCGGCTGACCTCAGAAAAAAAAAAAAGGAAAACAAAAACAAAAACAACGAAAATTCTGCCGCAATTCTGCCGTGGGATAACAGGGATCTCTTGCAAGCCTGAGGCTCACACCTTGACCTCCAAGTCATCCTCCTCCTGCGAGGTTACTGCAAGATCTCATCAGAAGGGTACAGCTTCTCTCTTTCTCATCAGTTGCTGTCCTCCACTTCTCCTTCTGCAAGCGGGGCCTTGCGACACCCAGATGGAGAAGGTGCACACTCACTACACGCAACAGCGCGATTCGAAAAAGCCCGGCCGGCCCCTTGAGGCAGACTGCCAAGACTTGACCACCAAACCATTTCCGAAATGTTCCAGACACTTGCGTCTCGTGCTGACAGCCCGTCTGAGCACCAGGGCTGTCTTTGGGCAGCGTCTTTGTCTTTGCCTTGTCCCCTTGCAGCAGGCATATCCTGACTTCGGGCATCTCAGAAGAGTAGAAGGCAACTAAGACTTGTTCGGCATCGCCGATGATAACACTGCAGCATGAAAACTTCTGAGACCAGGTCCCCAACACTTCTTCTCTGTGTCATACCAGCTCCCCCAGACCTCACCACAAGGTCACAGCTGTAGTCTCAATGGCACAAACCCGTCGTCGCACCTCCAAGTGCGTGCCAAAATGCACATTTTCCTCATAGAGCGTGGAGCTTGCCTTCACAATCCACGATGCTATGAACACTTATCAACAAGCCGAAGAAGCCCCACCAACTTGGCATCCTCCCCGATCGCGGGCGCCATGTGTGGAATGCTTCGTCTTGTTCGTCTGAGATGAACATGTTCTAAGAGACTAGGTTTTGCCTTTGCGGGGCTATGCTGTTAGGAAGGCAACAGAATTCTGTTGCCCTTCTGTCGCAATGCCATCTGCAAGCCAGGCCATGCACGCAACTGACAACACCCCAACTGCCCTCGATCCTGAACATGCAAGCAGCACGAACAAGTGCAAAAAGTCGCAATCCAAGACTTTCTCCCACGGTGTGAAATTCCCAACACTTGGTTGCAATTTGTGCTTCTGCACGATTGAGGCTCGTGCTCAACAGGGCTGCAAGACTTTTGCTAGTCAGCTCCATGCCATTACTGTACAGTAAAGGACAAAGTAAACTGTGCACTAATTCAGGCTCAGAGGCACAAGCTCATCTGACGCACCTGAGTCAGGCCAGGCTTAACAATCAGGCAGTCCGCACGACTTCAGCCTGCGGTTCATCAGAACCTGTCTTCCTGCTAAGAGCTCTAGACTCTGGCACCTTCATCTACAAGGTTATTGGAGCGTCTTCCGTCCACGGCTGCAGCTTGGCACTCGACACAAGATTTGCCTTCGCAGCGTGCCTGCAGGGTCGTTCGAATGCACTGCTGCCCCAAAGCCTCAAAACGCTTGTTATCTTCCATCCGAGGTGCAGTGGGGGTGTCCCAGCACTGTCAGACGAGGGCGGCCGGCCTTTTTCAGGCTGTGGAGCTATGCCACTGCCCATACCGCTCTATTCATGGTCAAATTTGGCAAATCACCAAACGTATCAAACAACTTCATGCGAAGGTTGATGCGAGAAGGCAAGCCGGGAGCCCAGCTGTTGGCAGGAGGATTCTCCAGCGGAGCTAAGGAGGGCCTGCAGGCCAAGCTTGCGCGACATACCAACTCCAGATTGTTCATGACGATTTCTCGTTGGGATGTTCCCTGTCATACTAGCAGTCCTTGATAGAGATTGTAATGGGGGTACTATAATCCCTATCAAGGACTGTCAGATCTGTCCGTATAAGGGTGAACATCCCAAACTTCTCGCATTTTGCTGTCAAAACGTCAATCCATGCCCGCGGCGTGCCTTCGGCCCTGGGGTGTCGGTCGGCTCGCTAAGCCAGAATAGGATGGGGCCCGCCTCAACTGAGGCTGCAAAAGGAGTCTTCCCTCAAATGACATTGAAACAGCTCGCCTCATTGGCGCCATCTGGTTGCAATCGATGGCACCAACCTGAGCAATGGACGAGAAAATCAAAGATTCATCGTGTTCGCGGTCGGAATTTCGGGAGCCCCTGCATCCCCGAGTTACCTGATCCGGTAGCATTTCGACATCTCGTTCTTGAGACAGGCGTTTACAATGGGCAAAGGATCTGGGAGCCATGGCCAAGCACCACGGCTCCAAGCAAAACACGCAGAGAGACGGGGCTTGTTTGGGCAACCATTGAACTCATTTGGGGGGGGGCGTCTTGTGAAGTGTTCTGCGAAGATTTGCGGAACTCTCGTTCTGAAGTGCATAGTGCCGCATTGTGGAAGCATCGTTCAGGACTCTCGCAACAGACGTCTTCTTTACCACCCAGTAAGTGTCCCTGCAAAAGGCGGGGTCATCACCAAGCCCACCGATTGCAATGGGAAATGGCTCCTTTTAACATGCCTCTTTGCTCTCATTGTAGATCACTACATGTTCCACTCCCCAATCTGACTGCTAACATCTCAGCCTTTGTCACAGCCCTCTGAGGCACGCTCTGATGGACTTCGTCCAACTGGCCGAGCCTGGGAAGCCCACGAGCGGCGCAAGAGCATGTGTACTCTTCGATGTGATTTTTCTGATGATGCCATCAGTCCATGAGACCTGCCTTCTCTTGCCCGAGAAGCTTGTCCAGCTGGTCGTAGTTGGCCTCTAACTTTGGGAGTCCCAAGAACAGGCTCTTGCCAAAGGATGCAAAGCCACTTTGACACAATTCGGACCTCGTGACAGCGAAGCACCCGCGGCTCCTCGAGGAAACTTGTCTTCTCGGTGACTCACTCTCATGTTGCAGACATGTAAACACGACGCGCTGAGGCAAAGAATCCTCCGGGGGTCTCGGGGATTCCCGCAGACGAAGAGCTACACCGACGGCCCTCCTGACCGCGTCAAGCATCATTCAGCTCACCAGACTTTTGGTCACACACCTTCGCCCGTTTGGCAGCTTCTTCAACTGTTCCGCGGGAGCCGGAACGATTGAAACCTCACCTGTGGTAAAGAGGTCCGTTGCATGGCTTGATAAATCCCGGCAACTTACAAGATACAAGTGCCTACGATGCCATGGGCATCCTCCTCAGAGACTTTCTCGGGCCTTCAGCTGAGAGACGCTCCAGAATGCTCATGGCATCTCAGAACGTACAGAAGTCATGACTCAGAGGCCCGACCGAGGTTCCTCACTTCCAGAGCTGTCGCTGGAGCCTCTCAGCACACGTCAGGGCACAACGGGGGCTTCCGAACATAGGGGTAACCTTATGGGGGGCCCTGATTAGAAAGGAACCCGACTACTTGGGGGACTCTATTAGGGGTAAGCTAGATGACAGCACCCGAACTCACCTTCCCCGACGTCTTCTGGCTGTGGTTCCCTGTGGCGGCGCTTGGGGCAGCTGCGATGGCCTTCGCGTCTCCTTGATCGCATCTTCGTCGCTTGCACGTCCTAGGCAGTCGGCATCAGCTTGCGCCTTTGACAGCGTGAAGGCAAGTAAGGCCAGGACCGGCGAGAGCCACACGCCTGCATTCTAAAGCCCTCCCCAACCCCCAGGTTTACAGGTTCACTTTGAAGGTACAATGCCAAAACGGCGGTAGAAGCTCACAGCTCACATGCACCTCACCTGGCCGTAAGTCAATCATGACTCGACCGAGTGCGTCCGAGTCTGTTACTATGGCTGGTAGCCACTCCTGCAACGAGGCAGATTGTTGCGGTCTGCTCTTGAATGGGTTGAGAGCTCAAGCACCGGTGATGATACAATAAGAAAGGCTTGGACTCTGTGCATGGGAACCGCTTTCACAGTGCCCCCCACGGCTGAGCTGCCCACGCCATGCGTGACGGAGTAGTACTCCGCTAGATCATCCTTCCTGCTCTTGTGCAGTCGCCAGCGCGTCGAGTCTAGACATGTCTAGAATTGAGCTCTAGCAGTGGAATGCGCTGGATCGCGGCTCAGTGCGGGCCTGTAGGCGCCTGCCACGCCAGCTGTCCCTTTGGCTGCACGTTCCTGTGCACAGTGTCGTGTCGTTTACACAACCACGAAGGGTCCCTAGCGCCTTTCAACCTGGACTGTTTGCCAACTCTGAAATCATGGAAAAGCACTGAACCTCCCGTTGGAGACTTCTCACCTCAAGGACATGACATCCTTAATTACGGTCGTTACATGTCGTTACGCCCTCTCAGTCATGCCAGCTCATGCTTCAAGGCCCGTGCTTCTTCGAGCATCTGCCGCACCACCCTTTGAATTTCAGGAAGTTGCAGGACCTGTTCAAAACTGCATAGGGCTGCATGGAGCTGCAGGAAGACAAATTGCCAGACAGAGCGTTATATGTGAAACGCGCCCCTGACTACCGAGTTGCGTGGGTCCTGGGAGCCTTTGGGACCTTTGGGCAGCTGCCGGGGGGGGCTCTCGAGGCCCTGAGAGTTCAGAAGGACGGTCCTCCTCCCCAGTGCCTCACATCCTTCCTGCCATTACTACATTGCCATCCCAGGCCTTGCGTCATCTCAGAATCTCACAATCCCTGCACCGCTCTGAAGCTCTTTTTTCACACTAATACGGCCGTCTCAGCCAATCGAGATCACTGTTGGAGATCATGGCAAGCATTGGCAAGCTTGAAGCACAAGTCAAACCTGCAAGGTCGTCGAGCTGCATGTCAGCAGATGACTGTACACAGTGTGAGTTGATGATGGCAAGGTGCTTGCGGCGTGAAGCTCGCGATGATCTTCTCAAAGGTCTGATAGCGGTTGTTATTGCTCCATAGAAGGCCTGCAAAACAAACACGCTGCTGATCCCCTCTCCTGGAGGAGTTCAACTAGCTTGCTCGACAAAGCTCGCAATGCCTGCTGCTCGGGTAGTGACCGTGCATAGCAGGTTGCTTGAGCCCTTCCGCACCAGGGCATGCAGCACATACCTAAGCCAGACGGTGTCTTCACGCAAGCATGGTGCCCAGAAGCTTGCCAAGAGGCTCTTTGAGCTGAGAGCACCAGCTTGCTCTATTTGGCAGCTGGGATGCTCGTGAATGGAGTCGCCGACAAATTCAAAGCGGTAGCCCTCCACACCTTCCAGCTTTGCCTCCTCGGTGTCACTTTGAAATCACTCCAGCCATCTTGCAACGACAGGCTAACGCACATCAGAAGCATCACCTTGCAACTGGGTAGCGCCATAAAAGTCTGCACCATTGAGAGGTCTCTTGTCTGACAACCTGAGCACCGGACTGCGCATGAAAGGGAAAGGCAGGGGGAGAACCTCACGACTCGGATGCAAAGTACAAGAAACATCGGCCAAGAAGCTTCTCACCGATGTCTTTAATGCTCAAGCCCGCCATCCCCAAGGCTTTGTCCAACGTGTCGGCATCAACCACCTTCACCTCTGCAGACATCGTGTTGTACTGGCCAGTCCTGTCACACACTACACACAGCTGCATGCTGAAGCTTCAGGCAAGCAAAGCTAAAAAAAAGCTCCCACCTGTCACCTTGCCAAACAACTTTTGTAGACGTCTCTTCAAGCACCTGATCAACTGGCCAGTGCAGGTAGAAAGTTGGTACATGACTGACCGTGCCACGTGACTGCAAGCCCTGAGTTCCGGTAGCCAACCATGTGCTTAGCTGATGACCTTATAGTTGTCCGGCATCGAAACCTCACGTTTGCCAGCTTCATCCAACTGTTTTCGCCAGCATCAGCATACCGCATCATCTCTAAGACTCTAAGATGCAGCCGGAACTCCTTAAACGCCCCTCCGACGGTGTATTCCACCCAGCCGCCCGAAGTGAAAGACATCAGGGGCAAGCCCGCTTGCGCCGGACCCGGCAGGCTGAGGCTTGCCGCCTTAGATGCACAACTTTGGGATCTGTTGAGACAAGCAGAGAGCGCCACATGCCAAAGGCAATCGCATCTGAGACCAGGAACCAGCGCGGCGATCGTTGCACGCCTCTGTCCTTGAGCAAAGGTCCAGCCTTCCAGGTCCAAAAAGGCCTTGCTTTCGACACACCTGTCTCACTGCCTTGTGGATATCCGTCATTGTCTGCTTGGTTTTGCTGTGTGCGCCTTTCCTATCACAACACAAGGAGCCCCTTCTGTTGCTCACTCTTTTCGCTTCTCGCTCTCCCCGCTTGCGTTGTCCATCCTCCCGCCCTTCTTTTGCCTGCAAAGTGCACTTGAACAACCTCCTGCATGCTCTCCCAAGCTCTCCCATCTTGTTTCCAAACGCCTGTTGTCGGGGAACTCTTGCTTCAGCCAGATTTATTGCAAGACTGGCATAAAACTTCTTCGTTTTTATGTGGCGTAACTCACTCATTACACGCCAAAAAAAGCACACTTGTTGTACACGGCGCCCGACTTTGGGATACTAAAATGTCGACTAGCACAAGCAGAGAATTCCAAAAGCCACAAAAGTCAACGCAATGAAGCCGAGAACTTGGCTTTTCAGATGTTTGGGTTGTTTTCTGAATGTTTGCGTCGGTATTTTGAGAGAAACTCCTAAAACCCCATGCGTGTTTATGGGTTTTGAGTGTTTCAAGAATCCAAACAAGAGCAACAATTTTTTGTACTCTCAGCTTGAGGACAATCCATGGTGTTTCGTGTTGCGGTTCTTGTTTTTGTTCATGTTGCTGTTGCTGTGGTTTCGTGTCCTTGTTCTCCTTGTGAGAACCCCCTCCCCCCCCCAAAGAAAATGGAGAGATACCAAAAAAAAACAACGCACCCCGGCTTGCGCCCAAGCCCCGTTGGCTGTCGGTTCGGGGCGCCAAGCGACAGTCCGCTTAAATAAAAGTGCTTTGGGGACTCAAAATCAAAGTGGCTGGTGACCATCAATTCAAGTTTTGGCGATTTTCATTTCAAAGTGTTTTCCGCCTTGATTTGAAACGGCTTCGGGGCATTTCATGCAGAAGGCTTTGGACAGCTAAGTTTTATACTCCAGCTTCAGAATGTTTTGGGCGATTCAATTTTGACGTGTTGTTTTTGAGCAAATGTATTTAATAGCGCTCTGGACAATTCAATTTCATGGCGCTGTCTGAACGACTTCACACTAAAGTGGCTTGGGCGACTCAATCTTAAAGTGTTTCTGAAGGACTTCATGTTACAGTGCTTTCAAGTCAAAGGGTAGGCTCGAAAAGAAATATTGGTTACAAGGGCGTGGCATCTGGAGAATCTAGGTCCTTCCCCCCCCCCCCCCCCCCCCCCGCAGATCTGTCAAGCGCCATGAAAGTTTCCCCTTGGGCAGTATGGTGCCCCGCTGCTTTGGGGTTAGGGCTCACAGGCTGAGAGCCCCAGTGCCGTAATTCGAGCATAAGTGGCAACTCCGAGATGAATGAAGCCATGGTGCCACGGTGGGAAAGCATGTCGAGATGGCAATGTCGCAAATGGTTTAGACACAAGCGCCTTACAGGCAAACCCGAACTCGAGACAGATTTCGCAGTCCATCAACATAAGCCAGATCTACACCCTCCTTGTACAGTACTCGTCTGCTTGCTTCCACGGACTTGTATACAAGTAGTACACGCCGAAAACATTGTAAGTACAGATTTCATCGTACTTGTCGAGTATTTACACGACTACTTTACATAACACGTCACGCATGCAAAATATGTATAAATCTGCAACCGAATTTCGGCTTAAAACTATGTGACCATATATATGAGTTGAAACACAAAAATCCTGGCGGGTATAGCAGTCTTGCTGTCAACACCTTAAAATAACTCGCGCTTTTTGCACTCTTACTGCTGTCTTAGTAAATAAACACATTTTCAACTTGCTTATCGGGGAGCTTGCGACTTGCGTCCCAATAGCTGTCCTTCATTGCTCACTCAAAGCAAGCTGAAGATAGGAATTTTTACTATATCGACAAGACCAGTATATACTTCGTAATTAATGAATTTCGATGGAACGAATATTGCATAGGTGTGCTTAAAAAAAGCACTGGGCTTTCAATAGTATTCAATTTGCATCTTTGATCAACATTTTGGTCGAAAACACTTTTGCTTCTGAACGAATTGCTTAGGAAAATTGCGTTATTTGTATCGAAACACCTGGATTCCCAAAGGATAAGATAGCGATGCCTGACTGCCAATTTCTGTTAAAAGCTCTCGACCAGGGCTCCTGCATTCTGAGAACGCCACACTCAACAGGTAGCTCCGTCTGAACTTGGATTCGATTTAGGACAAGTCGCTTGGAATTGCTGCGGAATGCTCTGGAGGCCTGCACCCTGCGGGCTTGAGCATGCCAGGCGCCTTGCTTAGTCGAGGTGCTCCTGTCCCGCCTGCAGCTGGCGCAAGAGCTCTTCGAGGCCTGGAATCTTGACAGCGCCGTCGGCGGTAACAAAGCGCAAGATAGCTGTTAACGTCACCGGAAGCATTCCTGTCACCGATGCTTCCGGGCCTCGAAGCTTGAGCTCATCCAGCTCATCCAGGTCTCCCTGGTCTCCGCCCTGCATCCTGAGCCACTGGGCGTCCAAGCATGAAACCAGGGGCACACAGCTGCGCCACTGAACTTAGAGTCGACGACTTGCTTGGCGGACCCGGCCTTTGACTTCATCGTCCTAATCCAGGTGCTCCTGTCCGGCCTCTGAAGGCTTTGCGCATGGATTTCAATCTTGCAACATGAGCATTGTTGCTGCGCCGAGTAGCAAAGGCCTGGAGGCGTTCCAAGAGCTTTTCCAGTCCGGGATCTCGACCAAGCGATGATGATAATGATCTTCACACTGCCAACGTTTGCCATGCACCAAATATTCGTGCCGCCAAGGCTTCCGGGCCGCGAACACGAGCAGCTCTAAGGCTCCCTGGTCACCGCCTTGCAGCCTGAAGCCGCGTTTGCAACCGCCGATGCCCGTCAACGAATCATGTCGAAAGGAGCAAACACTGCGACCAGCTTAGCGTCAACTGCTCCCATGCCGCCTCAGCTTCTTGCATGGTTGACGAACCTCGGACAAAATATCGATTGCAAGAGCGAGCAGCAGTTTAGAGAAGCGCTCAGCAGCATCTGGGGGTCGGTGGCTGTTGCACAGTGTCAAAGAAAGAGAGAAGCAGCAGGAATATCGTGACATCACATCAACCGAAGCACCTCCGCTGACTCTTCGCCAAAACTGCCGGTTTAAAAAAGCTGTCGCAACAAAACAAAATACACGACGCCCCGCGCACCTGAACCTCGTGGAGGTACCACAAGGATGTCAGCAGCTTGTCCTCAGAGGCCTGGAAGCGGGCCAGGCTGGAGACCAGGTCCTCCACGGACGCCCTCTTGACGGCTGCGCAGAGCCGCGTGAGGTCCTCAGGCTGTCTGCCGAAGAGCTGGAAGACCCACTGACCAAGGCCAACCTCAACATCATCGAGGCTCGCGCGGGCGCCATGGCTTCTACTTCGACAGTGTCTCATTAGCCATGGTTGGCGACCCGGGTAAGTTTTTGCACATTCCTGGCCATTAGTACTCAGGTTTTAGGATTTGTGAATTTCCGAGCGCTATGATCTTCATGAGGCAAATAATGGGTTTGAAAGAAAGTTATGCATCATAAAGTTTGTCCATGCGAATTGTGTGTTAAAGACAGAAAAATATTTTGGCATTTGATTAGTGCGTGAGCAGTGGTTCATTGCTACGTAATGAAAACTGCTTGTCTCAGAATCAAGTCTAGTGCACATGTTTGTTGTGCTCAAGTCGTTTTTGTTTAAGAATTCTATGTTTCTAGGAGAACTGTGTATTTGCAAGCGTATCTATGCGAATTGTGTGTCTTAGGCCCCCCTTAAAGCCCAAAACCTTTTCGGAATCCTCTCCTCTAAGAACAGGCTCAGAAGGGGGAAGGATCTAGCTGCTAACGGCTAATCCTTTCTTGTCCACAAATTAGGCAAGCCCTGCAGGCGAGCGAAAAAAACTTCAAACCCCAATCCTTTTAACCTACCGTATTCCCTACCCTACTGCAGCGCGCTTTGTGAGATTATTCTTGTGAGCTTTTGCATGACCCGTGCTCGCATCTCAAGGGGAGCTGGCCCCCTCTCAGATTTGAGGTTCGATGTAGTTGAGAAGAACAGCCGGAATATTGAAAGTAAACTGGAACAATTTTTTTTGGCATTTCTTGCTTCGAACAAAATGCGGATCCGCCCCCCCGCCCCCCCCCCCCCCCATCCACCCCACATTTGTAAGACTTGCAAGCTTGCAGAGAAGGACTTCCGGAAGCATGACGAGGGGGGCGGGGGAGGTATGGTGGGCTTGAAGAGTCGAGGCCTTGAAGGGGGCCTTGAGGTTTCAACCTCCTTTGAAAGAGGGGGCTCCGGGGGGGGGGGGGTTGTTGGCCTGGCCGCTGCTGTTCTTCCCCTTCACTTCTCGATCAACAATGGACAGCAAGGTCGAAGCAGTCGTAACTCAGTCGTATATAGGTGATGGGATTGTTTCATTTAGCGTCTTCCTATTTGCGACCACGAAGATTGTAATTGAAATTCACTATCTTGTATTTGTAGTACACATTTGAGAACAATTCACCGGAGGGGAGAGTCAGCCGAAAGCTTGTCATCCAAGACAGGTCTGTGATCGCCGCACAGTTGCCGCTGTGCGCGAGAGCTTCAAACACGTGGTTTAGTTTGCAACTTAGTAACGATTTACCTTATACAGATAACAATACTGCAGAAATGCGTCCGAAGATGTAGATCTAGATGTAGATAGATATAGATCTAGATGTAGATATAGATGCAGATACAGATCTAGAAATAAACATACATATACGAATCAATGTCATCGCCTGGGCCACGATGAACATCGTCGTCTCCTGACTGTGCGTGAGGCTAACGAGACAAGCAGGATCCCATGACTGACAGGATGTGCACGTACCAGCTACCACGTGTGCACGTACCAGCTACCACCCTTCTGTCAAACAGTCCTGCCGGCATGGCATTGAAGAGCACCGTCCCGAGTACCAGCAACACCAAGCATCTCTCCTAAAGAGGAGCAATGAGCTCAGGAACTCTGCCATGGTATTGAGGGACATCAAAGCCGCTGACCCTGCAACTGCACATACATGACACAGAGTTCCTTACGCAGACGGGTGGGCGAAAGCCACGACATCTTGGGCGGAGGCATCATGTCAACGTCTAGCAAATGTGCTTGAATGTAGCATGTACCAGCCAGCATGTAGATGGCCTAGCATGTCCTACAGTACGCTGTTGCTGCAGCTGCCAGCCGAGTGTTGAAGTTGCTGAGTAGTCTCACAGCAGCTTCAAGGCTCGAAGCTCAGACACGCTCAGACATGTTGAGACCCTGCTAGGCAATGACACAAAGTGGCAACAAGTTGCAAAAGGCTGCAAAAAGTGGCAAAAAACATGCCAAAAACACTGCAACAAGTGGCAAGAGCTGCTGCGACGACAAGCGACGCGCCTCGTCTGCAGACGGTCTCTTCTTCGGCTCACGGTCCAGAAGTTGTCTGCACAGCCTCCCAGTACACATCTTTTGTGTAACTTTACACAGCAAAGCGCATGGAGAGCAGCGTGAGTTTCGTTGAGCCAGGAGCCGGCGAAGGAAGTCAGAATAGCAGTCCGGAACCTCAGAACTTGGTGGCTGAGGTTTGGTCTTCAAGGGCCGTCACAAGTCCGCGGCCAAGGGCAGCGGGCCATAGCAGATCTTCTGCACAAGGCCCGAGATACTGTGAGCATCGAAAGGTACCTGCCTCAGCCAGGGATTTAGGAAACTTCATGTGCCGACCTCGTGGCCTGCAGATCCCTGCAGCATGTCTCCGCAGATCGAGCAAGAATGAACAATAAAATGATGAAAAATCACCAGGCATTCAGACAGAAAATTGTACTTGCTCTTTCTTTTGGGCGTCTTAGTGGGCTTCTAGCTCCCGACATGACTGGTCCGCAACATTGCGCGAAGTGAACAACAGCCTCTCCCTGAAATCAACAACTGCCGTAACATTTCCTTTTCGAAACATTCAATTCAGGTCTTCATGCGGTCTTTCATGCTGTCTAAATTAGCTTCACCTTGGAATGTGAAGCTTGATTAGAGTCTTTGTTCGCTCACTAAGCATTAACTACAGCAATTCTTGCTGCAGCGACACTTTGTTTGCGGACCACCTTACATGGCCGGGAGCGTCATCAGCCAAAGGCACAAGATGGAAGGGAGCAACGGGACAAGCCAGAAGTCCCGGCAAATCGAGATGAGACAGCAAATCCATGCGCATGTGCTCGCTTGGCCCGTGCAAATCGGGGCCTCCATGCGCCTCTCTGCAACACTCTATCTAAAGTGCCCCAGCTTGCCAGAACGAATGCTCTACAATGCTCCGAATATCTAGGCGGGCCAGAAAAACATTCCGGCAAGATACAGGGCCAAGCTGCCTCTCGTGTATCGCGGCATCAGAGCAAGCGAGGCTCCGACAGGGCACACATCTCATAAAGAATGCAGCCTGCGACATGGTGGTGTCTCTTCGAGCGCTCATTTCATCGAATGCCTTGTACCTGTCTGGCAGTTCTCAGACTCCGGCCCATGGACCACATGTCTGACGACCAGTTGTACGGCTTTTCCTTCACAAGACCGTGCGTCGCTGTGATATACTCTGCTGAAGGTGAATGTGCATTCTTGCGCCGTTGCGAAGGTGCCTGGCACACCTCTGGACTCAGGTAGTACGGCGTGCCTAAGTGAAGGTAATAAACAGAAGCTTGGGAGCGTGTGTCCTGAGCGATGACTGAGCCAACAGCCAATCCTGGTCTTTGCACATGCCATGGTGCAAGCCTTCATGTTGTAACGGAGGCACTCTTCCAAACAAGAGGGTCACGTTCATGTAAGTTAAGCCCACGACCATCGTTTTTGCTATTCCAAAGTCCCCCATCTTCAAAGACCTTTGCCAGATCAAGGTGTGGAATCCTAACAATGCCACGCAAAGGCACTGTCAGCCTTACATCCCAGAGCACCGCACCACCTAACCGAGACGCTGGCCCATTCTTTGTAAGGAAGAAGTTGGCAGGCTTTAAATCCTGTGACATGCAATGCAGCTTTCCAGCGTCCGATGTGAGAAAACTACAACGATGCAGACTGCTGCGCTCTGCATGGGGCGGCCCTGTGAAGGATGTGCTTGTCGTGGATGAACTTTACGGCAAGCGTCGCCTCTGCAAGCAACGAACCATCTTTGCTGAATCTGTTTGCAAGCCAAAATCTGATCAAGGCCTGCGTAAACCATCGAAGGATCTGTTCCTCTGGAATCCTCGAAGGACTGTGCCAAATAATCGTGCGCAAGCATGGTGACGATACTTGAAATAGCAGGGAAATATTTGTGAGCAATCGCGGACGTGGGGTCCAATCTTGCTGAGTAAGGTACGTAAACCTCAAACCGAACTTTCCGGGGGTGTCCGATAACTCGTCGTTCTGATTCCCGAATCTTGACAAACGGACGCCCTGGCCAGCTCCTTCCCTACTGCGGCAGGCTCCTTTTACTTCTACCGAGGCAGCCGTATGCATCCGTTGTTCGAAGGTTTTATGCAGAACTTTGTCGAGAAACTGCCAGCATGGTTTCGTGTGCGAGTCGGGTGGGGCACTTCAGGTCGCCTTTGCAGGTGGCATGCGCGAGACTGCATTTGGGGAGTCGAGGGGCTTCAAATCGTTTCGACGCCCGAAGTGGTCCAAAAGCACACGCAAAAGCTCTGGGATGCGATTTGGCCCCGCGCCTCTGATGATTTCGTCTTGCCCTTCGGATCTGTCTGGCAAGCTCCCCGCCTGGAATGAAGACAATTCCGTGGCTCCTCCCTCTAGAATCTGCTCAGCCTTCGCAGAAGTCCATGATGATGCACAGTACGCCAGCCTTTTGAAAAGTTGCTTCACGAAAATGCACGAACATGACAACTCGGCTCACCTCTCAAAACTCTACATGCTTTTACCTTTCGGAGCGAGAGACTTTGGGGTCTTCAAGAAGCAGCATGTGAGGGCCCTCAAGAAGCCCAAGACATGCGCAAAGGGTTGCAACCACTGCTCACACCCTACTTCTGAGGGCGTTGCAAGAGCAAACCAACACAAGGGGAGCAGTAGGAGCACAGAAGGGCCCCCCGAGTGGACTAGAAAGCCAGCGCCTACCACATTGACGAGCTTTTCTGCTCAAAAGGAGCGACCGCCACTGCAGGGAGCAACAAGAATGTGGAGAAGCATCGTACAAGAAGAGTTTGACTGAGCTGTCAACTCTCTAAACTCACTGCAGCAGAAAACAACGGCTTGTAAAGTCGATGCCGGCAGGGGCCCTGAAACTAAACAACTTCGGCAGCAGGCTGGAGAAATGGTAGTGGTTGAATGGAAACGGAAGTCTGGCAGCCTGGCACGACAGTGCGGTGAAAAGACCTTGCCTCAAAGGCTCGGGCACAACAAACAACAGTGGTTTGACCGAGGCGTCCTTCTGTTTGACGGCAGAGCTTTGTGGAATAGTACTTGCAGAAGATGATAGACTAAGTAAGATCAACAAACGTCGCGGTAAACTCGTACACTCCCTCTCTCTCTGTCTCTGGCAGGTTTGGGCTCGTCAGCCGCTGTCCGTAACCAGATCGACAACATCCTTGAAACTGTGCCCCAACGCTCAGTTTAAGCAATTCCATATGTGCAGTCCCAAGACCCAAAGGTCCCAAGTTGGAAGCGTTGAGCCTATGTGGTGTGTTGTGTTTCGCCTTTTTGGAGGGTAATGAAGGCTGCGGCTGAAAAGACAAAAGTCGCATAGCATGTTTTACTTATGCACGTGCTCTGAAGTAATCGCATGATCAATGAAGAGGGGCTCTTCTGTGCAACAAGATGCCTGGGGCAAGGCTGCGGGCCATTCTGCAGGATGCTCGGTGATTCGGTGCAATAGCGGCATGTGAAGGACAAAAACACAAAAGCTGAAGAACGCATAGCGGAATTCCAACTTTCCAGGTCAGCTTTTGTCACAACAATATGTACCTGAAAAATTGGCCTGTGTCCTGAAAAGCCAGCCTGAGTCCGGAGGAAGAAGTCGACGACGGTCTTCTATCTATGGGTTATGTCAGCGACTTTGCGGTACCATTTTGTTATGACGGCCCAGAAAAGTCGGCGACTTGTCCGCGCCATGTTTTGCTAGGAGAAATGGCGCTGGGACTTTTCGGTCTGATCGCTCTTGCATCGAAGATGCAACAGGTTGCACAGGTTGTGTGATGATATCATATAGTTGACGAATCATGCTCCGAAACTAAAATCTCCGAAAGCCCCAATACAACCATACTACGGGAACACATCACGAGCAGATGATGCAAGACGCTCCGCAACAGCCTCGCAAAAGCTGTCGCGGTAGCGTACGACGAAAGGATGCCGCAAGGAGGACAACAATCGGCCTTCCTCACCAAGCAATGTGAGACACGATTGACTGCTGATCGAAATTCAGTGGCCTTGGCGGCAGCTTCGGCCTAGCCAGCATTGAGGTTCAAGTTCCCTTGTCCCATATGTGCATTCTAAAGATAGTGCGCCTCCTTCTTGGATGCCTGCGTGATGTCCATGACCTCGCACGCCAGACCCAATTACCACACCAATGAATTTGGGAAATTCAGCTCGAACGACATGACCTTGAACATTGTTGACTCAAACGGGACCACCAAACAATTGCAGAACGGTGCGCCTTGCATACCGCCTGTGTCCCATCAGACGCTTCAACCAAAAGAGCTTTGGCGAAGGAGCCTTCACCTGACGAAACTTGCGACTTGCCGCTGTACTTAATGAAGGTTTCCATCAACAGACTAGTTACACCATAAACTCATTAACTAACAAAAATAATGTCTGCAGCGCCTATTTGCCTCACCTCCCTCCATCCACGCGCAGCAAGGACGTTCTCAACGTCCTGTCATGCGCGGGCGCGACCCAAACTGCATGTGGGTTCCCTCAGCACACATGTTCTGCATTGTTCTGCATTCTTCTGCCGCAGACGCTTCCTCACGCGCATAAACCATCTGGACGAGAATCGGCCCCTTCCCGGAACCGAAATCTCATCTCGAGCCAAATGTGGGAAATGCCAACGAAACATGGCTCTGACGAATGCTGTACGTGCTTAAGGTGCGTTTGGGGCACAATGTGCCCAATTTATGCCCGACTGGACGAGCGGAATCATTCTTAACTTCTTCTACCAGGCGCTCTCGGTGGTAAGTTTGTTTTTGATGGCCATACTTGGATCCCCATAAAAAATGTGGCAAGGCTTGGGACCAACTTCAAACAAAGCCTTGGCAGTCCTGGAGCATGGTCCCCGCTCAAAACCGACATGAAAATTTGGTAACGCGGTCTCGGGGCCCTCAACTAAGGAGACATCGGTGGGGATGCAGCACAAGCGGGCCCCCCGCAAAGAGCTGGAGGCGTGCCTCGGCCTACTAATGTGGGCCACGAGCATCAGCCCACACCTCCGCTGCTTCACGGCCCCGATCTACTCAGATCTGCATAGCCCGCCGGGCACATGCTACCCCGTGCCTCCGAGAAGCTGGTCACAGTTCCTCTGGTGCCTCGACGCCTCTTGCAGAGTTACTAAAGACGCCTCGTACCTTCAGCTCCCATTGCATGCCAAGGTTATCGAGGTCAAAGGCAAGCCCGTCCGAGCCAAAACGGACATTTGGCCTTTTCCGGCCGCCGACAAAACGATCTGGGTCCGCATTGCAGACCCCTCAGCCTCGGAGATTACACTGCGCAACGAAAGCAAGGCCGCCATACACTGCATGGCTCGCCCAGTGCTTCGCCTACGAATTTGCCATGCCGCTGGCCCGCCAGCCTCTTCTGCCCTGCCTATCAGCCGCAGACGCCATGGCGGACGGCACCACCGTCGGAATTGGAGGATGGCTGTCCACATCCTCTCACACCTGGTGGTTTGCACAGCAATGGGAGATCAAGGAGCTCCGCACAGCTTGGCCGTTCCTCACGAAAGATGCCCAGCAGTAAATCGCCTGCTTCGAAACCGTGGCACAGTGGGTTCTGCTGCAAATGGCCTACGAGGCCACTGGTTGCTCCTGCCTCAGGTTCTGCGTCGCCTCGCGCAGCGACAATAGCCCTACTCAGGCCTCCATCAACAAACTCTTCACAACGGCCTTTCCGCTTAGCTTCTTCCTGGAGAAGGTGGCCTCCTGGGCCCACGCACGCGGCCTAGAATTGGAAATCGGCCATATTCCCAAAGCCAAGAACACCGACGCTGACGACCTCAGCCGAAACCGCCTAGCAAAGTTCTCTCGCTCTAGCCATGCCCGCAGATTCCAGGTGCACCTTTCGCTTGCACAAGTCGGCCCACGAGGTTAGCCTAGCCTCTGCTGACGTGCCATGGAGCCAAGATCTCCTGGACACAGCGTCCCCTGCACAAGCCTGGTCAGACCACACGCGGTGGGGGGTGCCAGACCACACGCGGTGGGGGTGCCAGGCCTAAACTTCACTGGTCTGCCCCGGGCCGCCAAAGGGGGGGGGGACCATGCATCAGGACCGGCGCCTGAGAAGCTGCCCGGCCTGATTGCCAAACTCGCCCAGAGCAGCACCCGTGAAAAAGGCCATCGCATGCGAGGCAACACGGCTTTCTGGATGAGCTGCTCATCTTTCCGCGGCAAGAGTGCCTGCATCTTGGCAGAGGGGCCATGCTGACTCTGTTCCTTCTGCCTTTTGGCGCTCCAGCATTCCGAACATGCTTGAAAAGCTTGCAAATAGCATGGAAGCGGAATTCCGGACATGCTAGAAAACCTTAACTTGACTTGACTCAAACCGTCAGGGAAAACAGAGTCTGCTACAACGGAGCGAGAGGTTGCCGTTGGCACCTCCCTCATCCCGAAACTCCAGGCGCTGCGCGCCCTACTGGGCTCGGGGTTCCACGATGCAACCACGCACCATGCCAGCATCGGCGCACAGTACGTGGCACCAGAAGCAGCCACACAGAGCTGACTACCAAAATCAGTCTACGCTTTGAGCGACAGGCAGAGTGTACGTTCTGCAGACTTTGCTGTCATCTCGGTCAGCTTGTCGACCAAAGACTGCAGCTTCCAAGCCATTCCGTCCCTTCTTCTCAACCGCACCAGTTGCAAGTGCGCATTGGCAAACCGCTTTAAGTCAGAATGAGATGGACTGACGGCAAGGAAAAGCTTGAACTTGCTCCGATTGAAGGCTTCTTCATCTTTGCCAATGTAGACAACGTTGGCAATTTTATCTGGCAATGTTATTGCAGCTTGATAAGCAACGATGGTCTTCTTCAGGGCCTTATCGAGAGAGACTTGCTCTGTAGCAAGCAATCCCAGCAATGGCAGCCCAAGCGTATGCATAAAGTTCTCCGTCAGGCATGCTTCCACTAGATGTGCGCGCAAGCTTCGATTTTGGTTTTCGCGATGGTTTCGGAACCAGCGAATTCGGGGACCATGGTATTTGCGATGGGTTTTTGGAACAGCAAATTCGGGGACCATCGTATTTGCAATGGTTTTGAAAACAGCGAATTTGGGGACCATGGCATTTGCGATGGTTTTTGGAAGCAGCGAATTGGTATTTGCGATGGGTTTTTTTTTGGAAACAGCAACTTCAGGGACCATGGTATTTCAGATGCCCGTTACCCTGCTATTTGCGGTGTTTTCAAGCGCCCAGATGTCGTTACCGTGCTATTTGCGGTGTTTTCAAGCGCCCCGATGTCCGTTACCATGCTATTTGCGGTGTTTTCAAGCGCCCTACCCATGCTATTTGCGGTGTTTCCATGCGCCCAGATGTCCGTTACCGTGCTATTTGGGGTTTTTCAAGCGCCTAGATGTCCGTTACCGTGCTATTTGCGGCGTTTTCAACCAGATGTCCGTTACCATGCTA